TTCAAATGGTGCATTAAAATTAAAATAAATTAACCAAGTTCACGTAGCTGACCCTTGTCATTCTAAAATTTTGAAATTTATGCCAAGAGATGCGTTTAGATTTACGAGAATTTCAGTGCTAATTTTTAAAATTTAGGAGTCCATACGTTATACATAAAAATTAATTTTAGATCATAAAGTTGACCCATCCATGTTTCCCTTAATAATTTTTGAATTCATAGAATTCATAACAAAGATTGGTTTTTATTTGCGAGAATTTGTGGATAAGCCGTTCGTACTTTTAAGCCATGTTAATATTTTTGTTTCAGGTTTTACAATGCAAAAACTGCACAATAGGACTCTTCACTTGCACGTGTTCGATTACGATCGGTTCTCCAGAGACGATTCCATTGGCGAGACATACATTGAGCTGAACAACGTAAGTGTATCCTGGTGAAACTATAAGCGCTGTCACGTGTGGGAAATAATATAATATAATATTATGCCRTGGAAAAAGAAAAAAAATTATTATTCGAGAGCACTTATACCACCCAAAGCTTAATCTTTTCATAAGTCGGTTCTTTTAAATACTATACTTCACTTTCAKACCAAGTCAATTATTATTTTTTGTTTCTTAWATTTAGTTATTTTTTCAACTTTTATTCATATTAATAGAAATTTGAACAAATACAAAAACAAATATTAAAAAAAAACAAAATTAATTACCTACATAGTTTTCTAATGAATATATTTGCAATTAAACATGTTTCAATACCCTAATAATGTATTCAACAAATATTCATTAAATTATAACACTAAAATTATAACATTTTGGGAAGTGGAAAAAATAAAATATTAAATGCACTAACATTTATGTTTAAAATTTTGGGCAGATTTATTCGTTTAGGTAAATACTATAAATTGTCTGTAATTTTTCTATCTTATAATATTGCTTATAATATTCACTATTAAACGCAAATATAATTATGCGCAAAAGCAAGGTTTAAATATGTAGTTGACTCTTATTAATGCAAATGGAAAAAAATTGTGCTTATGCTATTATTGTTATTCATAGAGGAGTGGTAGACCAAACGCAAGYTGAACTTCACAAGTTAAAATACTATAACTGTCAGTTGTTAATTTTATTCCAAAATGGACATATAATTTCCGTAAAATATTATAGTCTTTTGATGTTTTCTAATTTGTGTAGTATTAAACGAATATACAGTACAATGAAAGTTGCATACATTAAAGATAATAGCTGGTCTGCGTTTTAGAGAAGTGTACATACAATAATAATTATTATTTAACCGTGGCTACAACGTACGACATGGGAAATATAATTATATTATTGCTAATTTTAATGACTTTTGAAAAAATGCCAGTGAAACGTTCTTTCAATTACGATGCTGGTATAAACTCAATCACGTTACTGATGTTGGTATGTGTGTGGACGACGGCAGTGATTGTATTGACATTATTTACCTCTAAAACTGAAGGCGAGTAACTAATATTTAAATTTCATAACCTTAGATCATTCACCCACGAATGTACGATAATACAATTGTATAGGATTTACAGATAAAAAAAATCAGGAAATGCACTGTTCAAATAAACATACAATTTCGTAAAACTCTGTAAGTCAGTATGTTTT